CATGTGCAAAAGTACCTCAATACACAAGGATAGTTCCTTTAGGACCAGTTGCTGCCTGGTGAAAGCCTAACAATAATATTAAGACATGGCTGGGCCAAAATAATGCTACACCTCATTGAGAAGAAGGCAGCTCTATGTTTTGTCCTTGAAGGAAAATGTTAAACTAGTGTGTACCTCTTATTTTCCTGCAAAATTAGAGGAGAGAAAAGCTGGTAAGGAGAAACTGGAGAGAAATGTGATTTAGTTAGCAAAGCAGTACATGTACAAGGTACTGATCAGTGGCAGATTCTATGATATACTTGGGGTTTCTAAGTAGTTTTTCACTACAGCACCTGACCACAAGAGCTCCCTCTAGACACCTGGCTTTCTAGAAACTAAGAGAAAGAAAACCGTAAATTATATTTGACAAAGATCATATCTCAGAATTCCTGATTTTGAATTTTCATTGCAAAATTAAATAGATTCATAAATATGTAGTCTGCTCAATGCTCGATTTCAAAGTGGTCCCATTATTAATATAGTCAAACTGCTAACATTATTTAAGTGATCTGGAATACCTCACAAGGAGAATTTTACATATCTTTCAGGGAAATGCAATATCACTATTCATGTGAGGCACAATAAAAAGAAATGCCATGCTTCTGTATCATACCAGGTTGAAGGCAAAGCTAGAAACAGAATCCAGACTCCTAACTCCCAGTCCATCACCTGTCTTACCTAACAGAGTCCAGAGCCAATGCAGTTTGGATCATCCAATTAATTCATTAGCCAATCCTGTTCTAAATTCTCAGCCTATCAAAAAGCTGCAATATTTGACAAGAAGCACAGGCATCTACTTTGCAATATTTCGTATTTGCAGTATTTTATGTTTGGATCAGACCCTGCTCATCAAACATGCATGTATATTAACGGTAATGCTGCAAAAAGGATTTTACTTTTACTTTTGCAGTTGCATGAAAGGAGAAACCACAACCCATTATTTGCACTTCTGGAAGGGTATGTGTGTGGATTACTGGAAGTGTATCTAAACTCAGAGGACTAAATAGATGTGTAGCTGAGCTTATGGGATTAAAACAGTGGAACAATAGACAAGAATACAAGTTCCCCAGGCCTCTATTATAAAAACAGTCCTTGAAACTCCCTAGCACTTCCTAGATCACTTCTGCAACTATCCTTTAAATGTGTTGCTAGTTACGGACAGTGTCCATGGGATGGCAGAATCCATTGACTGTACATTTTCGGGAGGCTTGACAAGTATGTGAATATATATATACTTATATATGTATAAAAAAAAGACCCTTAAAAAGCCAGCTATGGAAATAATATTTCAAAACTGGAATGTCTGCAGGTGATTTATTATACTTGGCCCTTTGCAATGTTTCAGGACATCAGAGCATTGAGTGTTGCTCATGTTTTATAGGTGAGGAATCTGAAGCAGCGTAAATAAAGTGCCAAAGTGTTTGCTACTATCTAACCCTGTGTAGAATTAGAAACGCCAGAAAGCCAAAATCCATGAGTCCGTATCCTAACTACACCATCAAAAGTGTCAGGGCTTCTGCAGTGAGAATATTTTGGGGTGGAGAAAGAGTTTTTTAAGGCACTTAGGAGACCTCTTTTCCCATTTGTTCTTTCTCTTACACTTTGCTTTCACTCATTTTCTCTCTCCTCTCTCCTTTATTTTCTCCAAGTATTCCTTTCAATTCACTGGCTATCTCCCATCTTAAGGTGCATTTCTCAGTCTCTTTATCAGCCGAAGAGTAACCACCAACTTGTGTCCATATTCAATACATTAATTTCAGGAATCAGATGATGCCAGCATCATTAAATTATTTTGAACTCTTGAAAAGGAGGGAGCTTGTATTTCAAAGGATATGTTAGACAGCTAGACTGCAGTACTCTTAAAAAAAAATTACCTGGCTTCAGCTTTTAAATCAGGATTTTACAGCCTTCTGCTGGTATTTATTACCTGTTCTCTTTGCCATTCTGTAGCCTTTGAGGCAGATGAAAGTCAAGTGATTACTCACTGTATCTATATATAGCTACAGCATATATCTGTATAGCATAGGAGAGTTTATAGACAGAAGAAACCTTTCATCTACTCCAACCACTAGGCATTAAAACAAAGCTTTTAAAGTAGACATACAGCTGTTGATAATGCAATATAAAAAATCCGTGAGCCTAATGGCAAAGTTCAACATTAGGGCTTGATCTTGCAAAATTTGTAATCCTAGGTATATAATGTAGTCCATATTGGAATATGAACTTTAAATTATAACGGTGGAAAAGCTGAAATAACCTGAAAATGCTCTGAGTTGAGAGAAGAGTTTGGCTCAAACCCAGTTCACTGAAGTAGGCACAAGTATTTGTAGCATGGAGAGAATGGACAGTGCTGGGAGATGATGAGATGTTGTGGGAGCATCTGGGCTGCAGCTGGAAGTTGACTGCAACATGCTCGGTAACATCTGAGATAGCTCTAGTATACCTGGCATGTGTACAGATAACTGTACCAGCTGCAAGTGTGATTCATCTCGCCTAAATTATATATTTAAAAGTTAAGTATCTAAGACCAGGAAGCTGAATCAATCTCCAGAAATGCTTCTTTTTTCACCATGGACTTGAGTATAAGGTGACTTGAATGATTATCTTTTGGACGCCCAAGCTAGGTGAGGTCAACCTCATCTTGACTATACAAACCTGTGTGGGACTGGGTGCCGGTTCAGCTGGCATTGATGCCTGTGTATTGATGCCTGTGTGTGCGCCTTCTTTCTTGATAAATAGATTAAAGCAAGTGGTGCATACCTGTAACCTGCTATCATCAGACCTCCCTCTAAGTCTATAAACACAGCTCTTAGGGAACCTTGAACCCTAAACACCAGCTTTGTAAAACTAAGCCAGACCAGTAACACCAGGTATTGCAGCAGTGACCCTATGCATTTCAATGGTGATATAAATTGTTTATTTTAAAGGAATAGCCTTTTGTAGGAGCTAGTCCCCATGATGCAGCTTCTTGTTAGTGTGACAAGCAGGAAATGAAGGTGATTTCAAGCTGACTAACCTATTTTTATTGTCCAGAGTCCAACATACAAATGAATAAATAGAACATCGGAAACACAATTTTTAAAATTCTCACTTCATCATTCCAGCTTTTGTTAGTGAGAAAGGAGCAAATGCACTTCATAGCATGGAGTGTGATATTGCTTCTGTGGCAATAATATGGCAAAAGTAAGTGGAAGGGGAAATCAGTAGAAAAGGTAGGTATGAGCTTGATAGCACCCCTTCAACACTGTTTCATATGAGAACCTCAATTTTTGCATCCTACGATTTGGTAAGATTTGATTTACCCCACCCCATGCTGGCCAGAGGAGAGTTCAGCCACACTGAACTCAAGCAGCTCAGTCCTGATTCATCTGCAAAGGCAGACAGGCTTAAGGAAATGCTTAAAAGGATGAAAT